GGGGACCCCAATACACCATACTCTTTTCTCCCTGAAAAGAGGAGAAAAATATATTTTCCAAAATTGGTCACAACATGTGCTCCTCTCCCACATGCTCTTACAATGTGATTTTGACACTCCTCCAACTGAGAAGCAGAGTCTAAATTACCCCCTCAGAGAGAATTGTGGTGAACTGTGACTATGGTGGCATGGATGCTATGTGACTTTCAAGGCTAGGTGATAAAGAGCAATACACCTTCCTCTTGTTTCACTTTGTGGGATGCTCATTCTCAGGAGCCAGTCACTGTGCTGTGAGGAAGCCAGGCAGAGGACCCATGCAGCTGTTCCAACCAATAGCCCCAGCCAAGGTCCCAGCAGCCAGCCAGCATCGGTGACCAAAAGGAATGAGATGTGTACAACCTCTACCCTCAACTCACTTCCAACTTTCATGTCTTCTATGAATCTGTCTTCTTTCTATGAATCAGCTGAGACCCTGAACATTGCAGAGCAGAGGGCTGCCTTTGCCATATCCTGTCCAAATTCCTGACCCAAAGAATCTGGAGGCATAGTGAAATGGCTATTGTTTTACACTAGTGTGAACAGAGTGGGTTGTTTGCAGCAACAAGAATGCAGCTTTCCCTACAATGGCATCCAGATACATGGAGAGAAGGATGTGACTTAGCATCCTGATGCCAGAAGGGAGGAGTAGGGTTTTACATGTGGTATTTTCTGCCTGTTCTGTTCTCTGAGGTGATATCCCTAGTCTACCTGGTTGCTCTTTTCTTTGCTGGCATTAGTGGCCAAACTTTATGGACATTGTAACTGGCAGTCTTTTTCTCTCTATCCCTGGGCTTGGTTGGGATGACTCAGCCTCATTTCCATTCCCATAGACACTGTACACCCCACAGACACCTTCTGTGACTCTTACGCAGCCCCAGCTCCAGTGGTCGGCTCTGTAGCCCCTGTTAGTATCCTCCTCTGCAGACTTGCAGCTACCTTAGGATCTCATCCATGCCACAGGAAAACAAAAGTGGCTCAGGATTGATGAATCTTAGTGGTTCCCTCTACCTGACCATGCTAGTGAAAGGAAAGGGCCATCTGAGAGTTGATCTATTTCAAGAGTTTCCAACAGAAATGGGGACAAGGAAGCTCCTGTGTGTTTTTTGCCATCATTCTCATTTGTCTAGTGTACCATTCACTATTCAGGTCAAAGGGACTTTGCCTGATTAAAGCCCAGGGATGGGAAAATTGGGACATAATGTGGGCTCGTTCTGCTCTCCTTTCCCCTTTGTTTTTTAATTCTCACAATTCCCTAGATAGGTTCTTCCTTATCTTCCTTCTCTTCATTTCAGCTCTTCTCTAAGCTTTCATAGCAAAGGATATTTTCTCTACCCATTTGGAGAACTCTATAATCTCCCAGGTTTGATCATTGACATTCTAAAGTCCTCAAAACTGTGAGTTGGATTACAAGGATATTGTCTTGCTGAAAAATCCTACTATGTATGTTAGAAGCTGGTAAGATTTTGCTCTTTGGTTGGTGTTTTTCTGAAACAAAGTACGAATGAGTGGTTATATACATGGAAAGAGGAAAACACATGAATAATTTTCCACTTATTACCCCCTTTATTGGCTTGAGTGGTATACCAAACAACTTTATTGTCCAGGGTTCCCATGATATCAGTTTTGCCTTGGTTGTGAGCTGCAATCAGTATTAAGGTTTTTTGAGGTTGTTCTTGGTGTACCTTTTTTTTTCTATTCTGTTCCATGCTTTTCGTATTAAACTTTGAAAAACATACTTGCTCTGCTTTCTTAGAATAATTATACCCTCTAGGTTTCTAGCAAGTTGTTCTAATTTTTGAATGCCTGCCTTGTTTTCCTATTTCATGTTTGCATGTTTCTGATTCCTAGTTGTATGTTTTGTCACAAATTTCCTGTTTTCCTTCACTCCTACTTTTCATATATGCCCTGCTCCCTTGGTTTTGACCCATTTATTTGCTCTGATTCCAAATACCTTGGTGTTCCAATATTGTAGATTATTCAGGTGTATGTTAGGATGCTTTTAATAAGATGTACAAAATCCAGCTCAAACTGGGTCAGACTATAAAAGCAACTTACTGGCTTCCGTGTTCTAAAAAGTCAGACTTCAGGAAAGGATTGATATAGTAATGCTATTGTGTTTCTTACTGACTATCAGATGTGAGTTTTATGGTGTTGGTTTCATGCTAGATTGGTTGTAGGAGAGCTGCAAACAGCACCCTGGGATAGATGCTTCTTCATTTATGTCCAATTGTGGAAGAGAACTTCTTTCACATAAACCATTGAACAGAAGTCTTGGGCTTTAATCTATTTGGACCAATTTAAGTCACATGCCTAAAACTGAACCTATCACTGTCATTGAGAATGAGATGCCACTGTTCTGATTGTCTTTAGCCAATTAGATTCTGCTGCTAGACCCGGGACTGGGATCAATCCTACTCAAAGCGCATCCCTGCTACACCCTGGGAAATGGGAGAAGTGGACTCAGGGGCGAGTTGGAGCCAGCTCTTAATGGTTGGCATGAGCTAACTATGCTCACCTCTTCTTCGGTGTTCACTGACCTCACTCTGGTAACTTGAAGTTAGCCTTAGTGGGAGTATTTATGCCACAGAAATTGGCAAATGTTACAATTTTAATTTTTTAGAGCTGGTTTACCAACACAGCACTGAGAATAAGAGGAACCCAATGTAACTAACATGGATTAACAGGCAACAGTCTCTTAACTAGTTTTTCTAATGTCAGAATTCCTACTTCCAATGCATTCTTTTTTTTTTTTTCTTTTGAGACAGGGTCTTGCTCTGTTGCCCAGGCTGGAGAGGAGTGGCACGATCATGGCTCACTGCAGTCTCAGCTTCCTAGGCCTAAGTGATCCTCACACCTCAGCATTCCGAGTAGTTGGGACTACAAGAACATGTCATTATGCCCAGCTAATTTTATATTTTATAGAGACATGGTCTCACTGTGTTGCCCAGGCTGGTCTCAAACCCCTGGCCTCAAGTGATCCTCACACCTTGGCCTTCCAAAGTGTTGGGATTACAGGAGTGAGCCACTGTGCCTGGTCCATTCTTTTTTTAATAACAGCTTCACTGAAATATAATTTCACGTACTATAACACTCACCCTTTTAAAGTGTATAATTCAGTGATTTTTTAGTATATTTATGGCATTGTACAATCATCACCACAATCAATTTCACATTTTTGTACCGCAGGAAACTCAATACCTATTAACAGTCACTCCCCATTCCTTCCCATCATGCCATTCCCTGGCAATCACCAGTCTACTTTTCTGTCTCTGTGAATTTGCTTGCTCTACACCCTTAATACAAGAGATTGTACAATATGTGGTTTTGCTTCTTAGCATAATGTTTTCTTTCAATTCTGTAGCATGTATCAGTATTTTATTCCTTTTGTTGACAAATAATATTTCATTGTATGTCTAGACTACGTTTGTTTATTCATGTAATTGATGACATTTGAATGATTGAGATCCAATTCTAATCACAGTTCCAGAATCCAGTTTTTTCCTCCTCTAGTCTTTAGTTCTTCTGCTACCAGAATCACTTTCCTAGAACAGCACGTTTCATCTTGTCACTCACCTCATAAAAATCCTTCTCTCTGCCTATGAAATACTAAAGGAGCACATAGATACTGTATTTGAAGTTCTCTTCAGTTTGACTGCAGCAGGGATGGGAATGAGAAGATCTCACCTGCCTTCGAGGGGACATTTTGGGCCAGTGATGCTCAAATCTCATTTAAAAGACCTCTATTTGACCTACCCACCAAGCAACCAACCATAACACCTGAAGAAATAGCCCGAATGACAAAAGCAAAAGCCCAAACTACATAGAACAGTGACACAGATATTATATAGCTCTACAATTTTATAGTTTATATTTATTTTCATCTCTTAATTGATAAAGGTTTTGTTAGGGTTCTGGAGGGATAATGAGTTTTATAGTCAGATAGATCTAATTTGTAGTCCTGGCTCAGTCATTTATTCTGACTTTCTTTAAATTCTCTCCTGAAATTTTAAGCAAATCATCATTTCTGTGTGTAAAGTGGGTGTAATAATTCATACCTTAGAGCCCAGTTACGGATTAAAAAATACAAACACTCAAATACTTGTGCCTAACCCATAAAAGGCACTCAATAAATACATGGACACTATTAAGGTTGAACATATGATTACATTTTTCAATTATTTTTGACAAAACCAATCTAAGATTATAACTATTTTGGTGTTCTTTCATTGTTTTATAGCTTTGGTGATTTAATTTCAATAATGTCCTAGTGCTTTAAAATTAGAGCCAATTTAAAGCAGAAATTAGATAATCAGTTAAAAGGCTTTATGTTCCATGCCTGCCATCACCCTTGGTGTAATCGGAAAGAATCAATATTTCCTTTGGGAAATACTCAATGATAATATCTTGTTTTATTACAATGAAGCTTTTCTGAAGTGACCTAAGTATAAACATCTTAAACACTACACTGGGATATGTTGAGGTAAATTCTTACTGGAATGTATCAGAGCTTGGCATTTATCATTGCCATGGGAAATAAGACTTGATAACAATTATTAAAGATATAACCCAAGATATTATTCTTGGCAATGGTCATAACATATTTTTTGAAAGGTGTTGAATTGTATTAAATTATAATTGTTTTGGTCTTATATATATGATCATAAAACTTAAATTGTTCTTTATACTGTGTATTTGTGGTGTAGAAAAATTTTACATGTGTAGTGAGTTTTTAGTTTTATAAACAACCATGAACTATGTTCTTTTTTGGGATTTGAAGTAATTATGAATGCAATAGCCATTTTTAAAATTGAAACATTTGCTATTTGAGAGAACAAATTAATCAATTGTTAAAAATTAACCTTTGATCATAAGAATAATATATAAAAGATAAACTTTTGAAGATTACTTCTTTTTACATATTTCGGTTATTAAATACTATTTCTCTTTTTTTCCCCCCATAGGCTTATCACTGTCGAGATGATTATTCCATAGTCCACAGAAAATGCCGTTCTCAGTTCACGGATCTAAATGGTTCTAAAAGATTTGGCATCAACACTTGGCATGATGAGAGTGGGATTTATGCTAATTCAGATGTAAAATGGAAACTCTATCCCTTGACTGGTGGTCCTATCACGCCCATTTAAAAATAACGTATAGAATCAGCATCTCTGACTAATGAAAAATGGATGTAGCAGTTGCTGATTTTCTATCTTAATAAATGCAATGGAAGTATTAGTATAGTAGATTCCTTTAAGCACAAAGTCTTATTTTCTGGACCAGTGTTTATATCCTTATTTTCATAAGCTACTCTGGTATTTTCCAAATTTCAGTGTGTTTCTTGCTGAGAGTACACTACACATTTCTAGATGGTATTTAGTGAAACATTATTTTATGGATTATGTATTTCTTTTAATAATTATTAGAAAAAACACATAATGGCTGGGCGCGGTGGCTCAAGCCTGTAATCCCAGCACTTTGGGAGGCCGAGACGGGCAGATCACAAGGTTAGGAGATCGAGACCATCCTGGCTAACCCGGTGAAACCCTGTTTCTACTAAAAAATACAAAAAACTAGCCTGGCGAGGTGGCGGGCGCCTATAGTCCCAGCTACTCGGGAGGCTGAGGCAGGAGAATGGCGTGAACCCGAAAGGCGAAGCTTGCAGTGAGCTGAGATCCGGCCACTGCACTCCAGTTTGGGCGACAGAGCGAGACTCCATCTCAAAAATAAATAAATAAATAAAAAATAAAAAACACATAAAACTAGCACAATCAAGCTTATGATTGCTTAGGGTATGGCTAATTATAAAAAAAGTAGGCCAACTTAAATTCCACTGAAGACAAAATTTTAAGTGAATAAATATATAGGTTGACATAAAACTTAAATGGTCAAAGTTTAGGCAACACTGGCCCTATAATAATGTTGAGTATGTATGTGATATTTTTTGAGGGGGAAATCAGTACCTATAAATTTTTATTTATCTGTGGTAGCTAGTAGTTTCATTGTGGATTATTTATTTTGCATGACATTTTTCCATATTCAAGTTAAAACCTTTAGAATATATGGATAGCAGAGGTGCAGATAGAATCTTTGTGAAACTCTAGGGGTTTGATGGGAAATCTAGTCATCTAGTGTTAGATTTGGAAGAAATCTTAGCCATTGTTTTGACTTACCCTCACATTGGTCCATGGATGTTTAAGTAACAGAGCAAACAGAGGTCCATGGATGTTTAAGTAGGCTGCTGTATTAGTCAACTGGGTCTACCGTAACAAAATATCATAGACTGGGTGGCTTAAACGACAAAGAAGATAGCAGTCTGCAAGCCAGGAAGAGAGCCCTCACCAGAAACAAAACCCTGCCAGAACCTTGATCTTGGACTTTTCACCCTCCAAAACCATGCAAAAATAAATTTCTGTAAAATAGGAAGGTGAGTCAAAACAATTGCTAAGACTGTTACCTTCTTGCCCTGTTCTTGCATGGTGGGAGGGGGATGGGGGTGGCAGACCTCTTTCACTTCCTCTTCTTGTAAGGCTACGGTTTTATTTGATTAGACCCCAACTCTTATATCCTCATTTCACCTGAATTACCTCCTAAAGACCCTATCTTCAGATAGCCACATTGGGAGTAAGGGCTTTGACATATAAATTTGGGGAGAACAGAATTCAGTTCACTGCTGTTGCCCAGGGTTATAGGAGTAGCAGATTCTGATGCATCTTTGAGATGCATTTGAAAACTTTTATTTCTTGTGAGACTGTATTTAATTATTTGGTCAACTTGGGCTTCATTTACTTATTTTTCTTTAAAAAATAAATTCATGAACTAGCATTTCTTGATAAATGCTAATTGAACACTGCCTCTAATGCTGGATTCATAAGATATGAAAAAGACTATCAGCTTTTTTATGGGAGAAATGATAATTAATATAGAAAATGTGATATACCAGGTAAGCATGTGCCAGAAGAATTTTACTATAATTTCCCACTGCTTTACAATATGTGTCCATATGCACACAAATATGTATATTATATATGCATAATTATGTATATTACATATACATTAAGTATAATATAGTCTATATAAATGTTAATTCATATGTAGTACTTATTCTAGTAGATATCTACCTAGGATTACCTTTCCTTCCACATACTATACATCCAAGTTTAATCATTCCTAACACTAACATATCTGGGGTAAAGAGCTATTTGAAGTATGCAAATCTGGATGTCAAGCCATTCATCATTTAATAATTTCTTTTTGTGGAGAAGAAGTTTTAATGGCCACGTCATTACCTTTGAACACTGCCTAGTGCCTAGAACATAAAATAAGATTCACTTACTTTAGCAGAAATGTTATACTGTCACGATGACTAACATGACATTTTGTATAAACGACTGGGTCTGCTATCAGGGATCACCTTAGAAATCAGTTTGGGTTTGGGTTAGAAGGAGAATGAAATAAGAGATATTGTATTTAAACTAGCCAAGGAAAATGATGCACTGAAATAAAGGTTACTGCAGGAGTTTTCCCCATGAACATAGAGATGGGGACTGGGTCAAGGACTTTGCTTTATAAATATAGAATAGAGAAACCTCAGCTCAACTGGTTTATGTTAGGAATGCATTTGAGATGAGGTAAGAAGTGAGGGTACCAGGCCCAACCCCTAGGATATGACACTGGCAGATCAAGACAAGAGGCAGGGCCAAGCCAGCTCAGTGGTTTGTTTATAAAGGAAAGTCACTCCATGGACACCAGTGCTCCAGAGGTACAGAAAAATTCTGGATTTGTGAAAACGCTAAGAAAAAATGGTGAAGTCTTTTTGTGGGACATAGAATGTAGGTGGCAGGCTGGGAGAGGCCATGGAAGTGCCTGGCACAGCCACTGCCAAGAACAGAACAGCGGGAAAATTCTTTCTTAAAGATGTACGGATCAGAAGCTAACTTTATTTCAGAGAGAGCAGCAGGGAAGTTTGCAGATAGCTGAAAGCTCACTCCAAATAGCAGAGAACAAGCACGAGGCAGCCATTGTAAACCAAAGCGGAAAATCCAAACAAAACCTAACACAGTAAATTGTTGTTCCAAATATTAAGACCACAACTTTAAAAAAAAGTTTAACAGCTTCATTGGGATATGATTCACATACTATACAATTCACTCCGTTAAAGCATATAATTCAATGGTTCTTAGTATATTCACAGAATTCTGCTATTACCACCACAATCAATTTTAGAACATTTTTATCACTCCTGAAAGAAACCCATATCCATTGGCGGTCATTCCGCATTCCCTCCCAACTCCCACAGTCCTAAGCAACCAAGAAACTACTTTCTGCCTCTGCAGATTTACCTAGTTTAGATTTTTTCTGTAAGTAGAATCTTATAATATGTGGTCTTTTGTGACTGGTTTCTTTCACTTTCTATAGGGTTTTCAAGGTTCATCCATATTGTAACATGTATCAGCACTTCATTCCTTTTTGGATGAATAATATTCCATTGTCTAGATATACCACAATTTATCCATTCATTAGTTGATGGACATTTGGGCTTTTTCCACCTATGAACATTCATGTATGAGTTTTTGCATGCATCTCTCTTGGACGTTGTGATGGTTAATACTGAGTGTCAACTTGATTGGATTGAAGGATGCAAAGTATTGTTCCTGGGTGTGTCTGTGAGGGTGTTGCCAAAGGAGATTAACATTCGAGTTAGTGGTCTGGGAGAGCCATACTCACCCTCAATCTGGGTGGGCACCATCTCATCAGCTATCATCACAGCCAGGATAAAAGGCAGAGGAATGTGGAAAGACTAGGCTGGCTTAGTCTTCTGATCTACATCTTTCTCCCATACTGGATGTTTCCTGTCCTCAAATATCAGATTCCAAGTCCTTCAGCTTTGGGATTCTTGGACCTTTGATCACAGACTGAAGGCTGCACTGTTGGCTTCCCTATTTTTGAGGGTTTGGGATTCAGACTGACTTCCTTGCTCCTCAGCTTGCAGACCGCCTATTATGGGACTTCACCTTGTCACCTTGTGATTGTGTGAGTCAATTCTCCTAATAAACTCCCTTTTATATATACATCTATCGTACATCTATCCTATTAGTTCTATCAGTCCAGGGAACCCTGACTAATACAGACGTAGAAGTAGAATTGCTGTGTCATATGGTAACTCTATGTTTAACCTTTTCAGGAACTACCAAACTATTTTCTAAAGTAGCTGCACCATTTTACATTTCTACCAGCAATGTATGAAGGTTACAATTTTTCCATATCCTTGCCAATTTTATTATTTTTCATTGTTTCGATTGAAACCAGTTTGTCAAATGGCAGTTTCACAAAACATGAGTTCTTGAAGAGTAGAGACTGTATCTGCTCATCTGGGGGTTACCAATGTCTAATACACAGTGAGCACTCAGAAATGCTGAAGGGTTGGTATCATTATGTTTGTCATAATCATATATTAATATGAGTGAATGCTTGGGTAATTGATAAAAATTCAATCTGTATGATCGGGATGACCTTGTTTAAAAATATTCTGATATTTAGCACATTTGTCCTACTAAGGGCTTCAATGGTAATCTTGTGAAATTGGAGGAGTTGGCAAAATTGGCCTAAGAAAGTGTTATGTTCTGTATGGAAAACCTGAGTTTGCCAGCGTATCCATAGAACTGACTAAAATCCTCCTTAAAGTAATGATTGCTGGCCAACCAGAGCACCTATCAGAACAAACCCTGCATATTCGAATACTAAAGACCCTGAGAAATTCTGTAGAACAGAAAGCAGTTAAACTCTATTTAATCCAGCATTTCCCAGGCTTATTTCATCAAAGAATCATTTCTTCTTGCAGGAGATATCTATAAATATATCCCAAAATATTAGTATTTCATGGAAAACATTAGAGAAAACATTAATCTAAGCAATTTCTAAATAAGGATGAAAGACAAAATAAGTATTTGTTGAGTGGCTACTAAGTACCGCATACATAGGTGAAGTAGATTTTATAAAATCCCAGTTCTACTGATAAGAAAAAAAATTCTAAATACCTCTTTCAGTAAACAGATTTAGACAGAACCCCAACTTCATGATGATGAAATACAGTATAAATTTATCTTAACAGTTATTGTGATTGGCATGTACATATTCTATACTCTCTTCCTTATCTTTCTAACAAAGAGGAATGGCTAACTCCCTCTACTTTAAATTCTCAGAGCTACTTATGTTACATTTTCCTGTAAGGCTTTCATTAAGT